AAGATCAAATATTGAGTATTTTAAAGAAAGAATTGTATTGAATTTTTAATTTGATTGGGTTTTTAAAATTTTAGATTTATATTTTTTTTGAAAAATGTGAGAGTAGGATGAATGTGGCTTACCATATTATTTTGAATTTTGAAATTTAAAATCATAGATAATTAGTGTGTTTATTTATTTTATATTTTTTGAATTGCTTTGCTCAACAACCTTATGCCAAACGAGGGATGCTGACTTATCATATTGTTGACTTATCATATTGTTTTGAATTTTAAAATTCAGAATTATAGTTAATTAGAACTTTTTTTGTTTTTGGATTTTTGACTTAAGGAACTAACCAATAAATTTTTTTTTTTACTTAAAAATTAACAAATTAACAAAATTAGTTTGGGAGTTTGGAGCTTCCACAATCATTGTTTTCAAAAAGATTTTTTTCCTTATATATATAGATTAAGAATTTTTAATGATATACAAAATATTTTTCATTTAACAATTTTGTTAATAAATAAATCATAGTTTTTAATGTTGAGAAATATTTTTCAATAAATAATTTTGATAATTTATTATTGCATACGAGAATAATTTTTTTTCTTTTGTCTGAGTATTGATATTTGTAATTTCTAATATTATATAACCGATTTATATTTTACACAAATTTTATGGATGTATTTGTAATTTGTTAAAAAATAAAACATTTATGTTTCATAATTGACCAAGTTTATTTACGTAATTACGGAAAAACTTATTTCATAATTTTTCAAGAATATTTATGTAATTACAAAAAAATCTATTTTATAATTGATTAAGAATATTTATGTAATTACGAAATTTTTTTACACAACCTATAACTCATCATTAATAAATTATTCAAAATAAAAATATAAAATCGTAAAAAATGACGATATATATATTGTTATTTTGCCTCCTTACCAAATTCTTACCCATTTCTTCTAACTTCCAAAGATTACGTACTGGGGAGGCAACGACCCAGTCGCGTCAAATATTAAATGCAAAGTGAGTCAAAGTCTAGGAGTAAATTAATTCATTTTTTAATAATTTTTCTTACCGCGTATTCAGGATTCACTAGATGCCAAAAACAGCCAACATTATTACTGCCTCCCTAGGGATCGGCATAGCTCAAAGCCACTTCCCCAATTGATACCTTCCAAAATTCAAGAATTAATTATGCCAGAAATTACATAACCGGTTTGGTTTTAATTTTCGGAAAATATTTTTTTTTAAAATTTTATTATTTTATTTTCTGTACTTTTTGTTTTTAATAAATTTTGTTAATATTTTAAGTAATTTTTTTTAAACGCACTTAATATAAATAAACTTAAAAAGTATAATATTTATGAATTTTTTTTAAAAAAAACTCATTAAATACCAAAAATATAAAAAAACAAAAATACGAAAATTTAATATATTTTTCATATTTTTGTATATTTATTAGTTTTTAAAAATATTTTTTTACAAATATTTTACTATTTAGATATATCTAAATAAAGTGTATTTAAAAAAAATTACTTAAAATTTTAAAAATATTCATTAAAATAATATGAAAAATAAAAAAAAATTAATTTTTAAAAAACTGAATTCGAAAAACTATGATCAAACACACTAATAGTAATTTGTTTCTCGGCTAAATTTAGGTGCGGTCTCAATTTATATATATATTAGTTAAAATATTAAATCTTATTATTTTCTTGTTTAATTTAAGAATATAACAGAATTATTGTCTAAACATAAATGATGTAGAATAATATTTCAAAACCACCAAATAGAAATTCTTCCAATTTAACTAAAATAACAACATTCTTAGACATAATTGTATTTATTTTTCATCATTTCTTGCCGATTTAAACAACCCCATCGTAACATTGCTTTTCTTATATTTTAATTAACTCCAAAACATGACACTTAACCAAAAATAAAAAATAAGAAACTCCAAACATGTCCTCGTGGTAGAATTGTAATATCAAAAAGGGGAATGCTATAAAATAAAGGCTATTTTGGGAAGATGGTTATAATAAATTTTTTAATTAAAAGCTGATTATAAACAGATTATAATCAGTTTTTTGTGAGAGAAGAAAGTGAGTTATAATCTGGGAAGTGGATTATAACCCACTTATATAATTAGCTTTTTGTGAGAAAGGAAAGTGAGTTATAATCAGCTTTTTGAGCATTCTAATGAATTAATTACAACAAAACTCCTCAATCACTAGCAAATTTATTTCTCCTCTATAAACTTATTTTTGATATTTTGATTCATCAACTAGAAAACTACATGGTTTTAAATAATCGTATCGAGAGATATGTTTTAATGTCAAATACACAATTATATATTGGTTGATATCACACAATATCAATCAATATATAGATGAATATTATATAAGTATAAGATATACAGAATCTTGACATGCATCAATCGACAAGGGCGGACTCGGGATTCGTTGATGGGATGGGCTAATATTAAAGTAAAATTATGCAATATATTTTAAGTATAACCATATAAGAAAAAAGAGAATTTAATAATATACTCTAGATTAATATCTAAATTTATTGATTAAAAACAATCTAACTAAGTTGTGCTCGACGAATCTTTAAAGATTCGAAGTCATCAATTACAGAATCTAGATCAATTTTCAAAAAGCATGAAAACAATATGCTTTATCCTTTGAAGGAGAATACTCCAGCTAAGAAAATTGTTTAAACCAAATATTTTGAAATCGGCGATTCTGTTTTCCAAATGAAGACCTAGGATATTCAAGTTTAGATTGATAAGACCCCAAGTTCACATAAGCTTATCTAACCTCATCCCGTTGATTAATCGGATATTCACAAATTTGCAAGCATAAACCAGGATCTCATTCAAAAACAGCGGAATCAAATTTGCTTGGGTTATTTGCTTGAGGCATAGAAGACGGTAGAACATTAGAAAATGAGGTTTCAACAACATTGGATGTTGTACTACTAGACTTCTGTTTGATTGATAAAATGAGAAAATGTTTTTGCCTTTTTTGAGTGTGGAGATTCCATTATTTATAACCTAAAAAAAATTAGCCCATATTTAATATTAAATCAGAGTATATTCGCAATAATTTTAAATATTAGAGTTTTTATATATATCCTCAACAATTTTTATTTAAGCTTTCATTATTTTTATATATGTCTAAAAAAACTCTTTCAAAGTTCAAAACTAAGAGCAATATGGAACATTGAACAAGGCAGCATCATAAAAAAAATAAAGAGCAATATAATATTTGTTGCATAAAGACAAAATTTCAAAACCATTGTTAATCAAAATCATTCTCAACCAACAAAATAAAATAATTGGTTAATTACACTTACCAAAAATGTTAGGAACGTGTAGTTGCTACAGGCTGCTGGAGACGACGAAGAGGGCCGCTGCCTATCTATTAGAAGATGTGAGGATTTTTTTGGAAGATTTGTTCTTTAAACAAATATAAACCTATTGGGCTGCCTATCTTCTTTTTTTTTTTTTTGTAAGTTTTTTTTTTTTTTTTTTTTGTAAGTATTGGGCTGTTATTGGACTGCTTATCTAAAAAATAAATGAAAAAATTATTGGCCCTTATTTGGGACGTGGCTGCGTTGGGAGAGGTTGGGAGGCTGGGCTGGGTTGGGAAAAATAATTTCTACAAATTTTTTAAATTTTGGGCTGGGGCTGTAGCACCTATGCCCAGCCCTAGGTCCGCCCTTGCCAGTCGATGTTTAAAACAAGAATACTTCTACCCATAGTAACAATCTTACTAAAGATACAAAAGACTAAATGTGATTGGTTAAAAAAAAAAAGAAAAAAAAGAAATCAATGATATTTAAACACCCAATAATGTTTGGCCATGTATATTTTCAATAAGATTGTTAGTAAAAATTTAAGTCAATGTAACATTGCACTTAAAACAATGCCTTTCATCACTTCATAATAGATATCCGTGCAATTTTATTTTATTTTTATAATTATTATTACTTATAATTGAAAGAATCAAAATATATAAACCAATAGATGATGAACTAAAATGATATTTGACAAGTTATGATATAATTAATTATATTCTAAATGAATTTTATATATAAATTTTTTATTTAATAATTAATTTCTTATATAACATGTAAAATTATTTAATACTCTACCAATACCATATAAAATTACCTAAGTCATTCTCTAAATTAACAATTTAACCAAAAATTTTACAAGACCATGCTAATTCATATTTATTAGATAGTTAAGTAAACAAAACCAAACCAAAGTTTTAACTCTCAGAGTCGGTTATATGAATTTTTTTTTCTCTATTCGACTTTATTACCGGCCATTTGGTTAGTTAAATTAAGGATATTCATATTTCTATTTACTACACTAGCATACATCAATTTAGGTATGTCCTTTCCCCAAACACTTCCATCTATCATCACTGATTATATCTTTTCATTACTGTCTTTGTTAGTCTCTGTTATCATATGACCAAACTATCTCAATCTATTCTCTCTTAACTTATTTTCTATCGGTACTACTCTTCTTTATTCACGAATATACTTATTTTTAATTCTATCTTTTATAATATTACCACACATCCACCATTGTTATTTTTGATTGATCGAAAATATAGCATAAAATAATGAAGATAGGGTTCGTTTAGAAATTGGATTGGCTTTTTGTCTTTTTAATCTTTTGATTATTTTAATCTGAGATTAAAAAGTCTTGTTTTAGAAAGAGTTTTTTGACTTTTCGATTTTTTGTGAAAAAAATAATATAATAATTATGAATTAAATGTAATTTTTATCTTATTAAATTAAAAAATTTATTTTATTTTTTTATAACTAAAATAGATCCCAATCCAACCCAACTCAACTCAATCCAACCCAACCCCGACCCTTCTTCTCAAGCCATAGATATCTCATAATTTTTTTTTTTTAACAAAAAATATTGTATGATCCTTCGAGTACAGAAGGGACATGTTTAAGAGAAGTAAAACAAAAAAAGAGAAGTAAAACGAAGTCTCACTTCTCCACTACTCTTTTCACGAAACCACTGCGCTAATTCCTTTCCTCCAACCACACCCACCACCACCCCAATCAACCATTTATATACCCCCATTTTGCCTCTTCCCAATCTACCTCCGAACCATTCCCAAATCCTCTCTCTCTCTCTCTGTGTGCAAGTATGAGGACTAGCTGTAATGGGTGCAGGGTCCTCCGAAAAGGCTGCACCGACGACTGCAGCCTCAGACCTTGCCTCCAGTGGATCAATTCCCCCGATTCCCAATCCAACGCCACCCTCTTCCTCGCCAAGTTCTACGGCCGCGCCGGCCTACTCAACCTCCTCAATGCCGGCCCCAACCACCTCCGCCCTTGTACTCCCCCCCACCCCCTCCTCTCTCTCTCAATATCAATATATATATATGTATATATAGTGGGTCCAATGGACTCCAATAGATCGAATGCCCAGTTGTAAAAAATATATATGTGTGTGTGTGTTGTGTATCAATAATAGTAGTAACACAAAATCAGGTACAGAAAATTGTGAAATGGCTAGTGAAATTCACTTCTGAAAGATCATATCAATCAATTTATTTCCTGTTTGATTTCTTAGAATTGTTGTTGTTTTTCTTTAGTAAGAGGTTGTGTTGATGGGTTGTTTCTCTCTCTTGCTCAAATACAGCGATATTTCGATCACTCCTATACGAGGCATGTGGGCGGATCATCAACCCCATATCCGGGTCAGTCGGGTTATTGTGCTCCAACAATTGGGACCGTTGTCAAGAAGCCGTTGATGCTGTTCTGAATGGGTCGCCGATCATGAAGCTCAATTTCGACGATGCTGATGCTGCGGCGGCTCAGCCTATCATGCCTCTCAAGGGCTGCGATATACGCCACCTTACCAAGGATTCGGATGATAATATCCGCCACCGGAAGACCCCATTCAAGCGCTCCGGTGGCCGTGGCAAGAGCAGATTCGATGAGTCCACAACTGAGCCGGCTCGGTTCTGTGTTGCTAAGTGGGGTGGTAATCACCCAGAAGAGGAGGTGAATCGGCACCCAAGTCATGACTCGTCCATGTTCTCTGTTGAAACATTGGAGGCTTCGCTATTGGTTAACCGGGCTGTGAAATGCGAGCCTCAGGAGATCGAGGTTGGATTGGACCTTTCTCTGGGCTTCAATCCGGTGTTTCACCCCCAGGTGCCTACTACGGTGGAGGAGCGGAAACTGATCCAGTTCTTTGATGGTGGTGGTGACGTGTAAGATCGAGAGGCGGATGCGAGACAGAACCCAGTTTTGGCCTTTCAGATGGTTTTTGTAATAATTTCAGTTCAGCTCAGTCCGGTTTTTCTTTTTTCTTTTTATTTCTTTTTGTTGGTATTTAAAAAGTTTTCGTAGGTTATACATATGTAATTATCTATATACAGTATGCTGTTTTGGACTTCATTTGATTTTGATCATCATGCTCCACTTTACACATTTTGTTTTAAATTATAACGAAAGAAACCGTGATATGATGAGGATGGGGTCAAAAATGAAATTGGAATCGAACTTTGTTGAGAGAGTGAGTGATAAGAGAAAGAAAGATTATTTAGTAATTTTGAAATATAGATACGTGATATTTTATAGTATTATGATTGATGGAAAAGATGAATAGGTAAAATATTATATTAAGGGCAAGTTTGGGAAGATCCAAAAAAGCCAAAAAGTCAAAAAGTTACTCAAAAAGCTAAAAAGTTAACACTATTCACCAAAAGTCAACAATTACGGCTGCACAACTCCCAATTCAAATTTTTCCCTACAAATCAATTTTTACAATTTTTTATTACATATTTTTCAATAAAAAGTCAAAAAGTTAACCCAAACATCCATATTTTCAACCTCAATTTTTTAGTCCAAAAAGACAAAAAGTGCACTTTTTTAGTCTTCCCAAACTTGGCCTAAGTGATTGAAAAATATAAAAAATATATTGAATGATAATTAATTAAAAAATATAGACATATTATGGGTTCGTTTGGTTTTAATTTCTGAAAAAATTTTGGGAAATTTTCTCTACAAATAAGTTTTTAAAAGTAATTAAACCAAACAAATTTTTCCAAAAAATTTTCTCAAAACTTGTAAACCAAATAAGTTTTTCAAACAAATCTCTCTCTCACACACATCAAATCAATCACTTTTTCTAAAACTCTCTCTCAAAATAATTTTTCAAAACATCTTTTGAAAAAAACCAAACCAAACAACTTTTCGTACTTTTTATCTCTAAAACACATCTCTCAAACACAAATCAAACATACCCATAATACTCTGAGATCATTCTATAATTTCTCGAAAGGGAGGGTGTGGGTCATGCACAAGTACACGTGAAGAGCATGCGGATGGGATTAGGAAGATATGGAGGGGGTGTCATGAGTTTTGACACCTGCTCTTCATGCAAAAGCCCGTCTACTTTGGAGTTTCTCATTTACAGATGCTTTGGTCTATGTTACACATGTCTCTAAATCTGCCCTTATTAAGGGGTTGTTTGAAATGTTTTAAATAAATATATTTTTTATTTTTTTAAATTAAAAAGTTGAAGAAAAAATATATAGATGTTTGAATTAATTTTTTGATTTTTTATAAAAAAAAATATGTATTAAAAAATTATATAAATAAGTGTGTAGGAGAAGATAGGATAGGAGGCCATACGGATTGGCAGAGGCGCCGGTTGGGTGAGTATATGAGGAAATATTATCTCTTTCTTGGGCTTTGATTGGATGGTGTTGTTTGGTCCGTGGGGGCTCACCACGGGTCTCGTTTTTCTAATCGGAACCGTCAATATGTAGAACTCGTTGAGTACTATATGCTTGTAAAAAATCACGTTAATTAGATATCGATAGCTATTTGATCATGTTATTTTTTTTGTTAACTATTAACTGTTAACTGTAACAAAACTGATTTGATCATATAGTTAGTAATATCCGATAGACGTGATTTTTTACAGGCATATAGTACTAGACGAGTTCTACATATTCAACGGTTCAGATTATCAAAACGGGACCCATGATGGGCCCCCACAGGACCAATTTTACTATTAAGATTTAGTAAATATTCTACTATAAATTTTTTTTTTCTTTGTAACTCATCATGTCATACCATCATTTGGGCTAACTTTTTGATTTGTATTACTATTTGTATATTAATTTTTTAATTTTTTTTTGTTGAATAGTAATAACTTTTTAACTTTTTTTTTGTAACTTTTTGACTTTTTAACTTTTTCTGAGGTTGCCAAACCAGCTCTAAATTTAACTTATTTTGAAGTTACTGAGTCAAATAGGGTAAATTTTTATTAAATATCTTATCAAAATTTTTATTAAACATCTTACATAGATGTGGTATTCACATAAGACTTATATGATATTTATACATATATAAGACATTTAGAAAAAAAATTAATAAAATTTTTAAGATTTTTAACATTCTTCGAGGCAAGTATAAGCCGGTATTGCAGTGTGATTGGATTTACAATCATAAGTGTCATTCTTGTTACATATCAATCTGTAAAGATTGCGACAGTCAAATATGGATCGTATGATTTGTTATAAGACTGCATAAAAATTAGTTTAAAATTTAACAACTGTGATACCCGATTTTTGATACATACGAATCAATACTATTGACATTGATACTCTATAATTGATACTATTATGTATTTTGATACCTCGATTTCGAACCACATAAACTCAGTTACTGTATTTAAATTCCTCAAATTTTAATTTAATTTAAAAAAAGTCTAACATGTCAAAAACTAATCACAAAATATAACATAATTCTTTTATATGAGATGGATTCTATCTTTTTATAGGTCTCACATATATGTGATAGAGTTATATATGATTTTGTACTTGATTTCTATATAAATAGAACCACTATTTAAGATTATATAGATTCATAAATAATTTTTTAATATATTATGTGAGATGAAATGATATTTTTATAAAATATACCATGTTAAAAAGATTTTTTACTCATAAAAAATATATCATAATATATACATATATTAATACAAATATATAAAATGTATAAAATGTGTGATAAAAACTACTCATATCCTATAATTTATTTTAAAATCTGGTGTCTGACATGGAGATTTGAGTTATTTTCATGAGTTTATGTAACATATGCTTGGCATGGCCAGAGTGGACTAAAATTTGTATAAGAGTATATTTTGTAACAGAAATGTTAGGGACTTTTTTTTTTGGAAGTTTTATGACTTTTAATTTGATCTTGGTTCTTGATGTGTGTATAGGGTCCATCCATATATGTGTGAGCCCCACATTATGAGTAATTGAGATGAGAGTGAGAGTTGTGAGGGTCATATATGTGTGGGGGTCTCTATCATAATTGATTACGTAATGTGATACATGTGAAAGTATAAGAGAAGTATATATATATATATATATATATATATGAATTAATAAGAGTATATTCTGTACTCTTGTATAGTTTTTTTTATTAATAAAGTTTTTTTCTGATTGATAAAAAAAAGAGGTTAAATTCATTTTATTCTTTCGTGGTTTTGGGACTGGAGTATTTTACCTCTCTATCATTCAAATATAACCAAAAAGTCTCTATGTGATTTTGGATTAAAGTATTACCGTTAAATTTTTTATCCAAACTAACGAGAGGTGTATTACACATATTAATTTTGAGAGTGGGTTTTGTTTTCTAAAAAATTAGAATGAAATTAATACAACAAAAGGACAATTTTGTCACCATTTTTTTCCAAATCTGAAATTAGATTAATATGTTAATTAAAATAAAATTAAATTAATAATTGATCTAAAATATAATTAAGAATTGATTTATAATATAATTAAATAAAATATAAAATAAACAATAATTAAGAATTGATCTAAAATGTAATTAAATTAAAATTAGATTAACATGTTATAATAAATAATTAAGAATTTAGGATTAATTATAATATAAAATGTAATTAAATTAAAATTAGATTAAAAAGTTAGTAATTACATCAAATAGTTAAATATTTAGGATTAATTGTGATTTAAAATATTATTAAATTAAAATTAGAATACAAATTTAAGAACTATAATAAATAATTAAAATTTTATAATTAATTGTGATTCAATTGAACTAATACTAGACATTCTAAATTGTGTGTATGAGAGATGAGATAGAAAGAAAATAACAAAAAATATAGGGTTAGAGGGTATTATAGTCATTTCATATCTATAATTAACGAGGTTAATTGTTATGTTTTTGTCCAAAACAACATGGGGGTATATGACTATTTTTAAGAGATAAGAGGATAAAATGTTATCAAACCATACCATAAGGAGATAAAATAGATTTTGCCTTATATATATATTAGGGGTGAGTAACGGATATTTCGATCCGTCCAAATCAACCGAACCGTACTGATCCGCCGCATCTTGGACGGATGCATAGTGACGAGCGAACAGCTATAGATTAAGTTTTCCAATCCGCCTAATTTTGGACAAACATTTGTAGAAAAAAGCTACTTAACAACTACCATATTCTTCTATTTCCCACACTTCACACTACTTGATCTTTCACTGCATCTCCATGTCTCCATAACTTCTTTTAACCTCCAATTCATGCTCCATGTTCTCCACTTTATCTTTCATCATCTTTCTTCATGTGTTTAATAGTTTATAATTTTTTATAACCTTCAAATGAGTATGAGAGTGTCACATGTCCTACAATTATATAAATAATAACTAATAAAAATTATTTATTTATGGTGCCAACAAATACCAAGATTTTCAAGGTACATGATATTTTTGTAATTTTACCAACTTTTTCATTTCTTAGATGAAATTTACACAAAAAATTTTGCATGTATATTTAAAAAATAATAATTTATTTTATTATTTTCTTAATATGATAAATTACACGTATGTATTTATTATATTACAAAAGTAGGGCACAGGGCTGGAGTTCAATGAGGTCAAATGAGGTGAGCAATAGATCCTCAACTTTTGTTGAGTTCGAATGCTTACTGCTCGGGCTAGTGTTGGACGTTTTTGAGACAAGGGATTTTATTTTATTTTTTTAAGTTTGGTATCTTAAAAAATGTATAATTGATGGAAAATATTTTTTAACTTTAGGGTCTTTGTTCTAACGCCCCCATTCTGATGGATTAAATAAACTCCCAGGGGATTTTAATTATGATTAAAAAAGATAGTCTTAGCTTCAATTACAATAATTCAAAGTTTTGATTAGCCTAATCGTTACAATCTCTCTCCCTTCAGAAATTTTGTAAAATATTTCGTACAGTCCAAATTTTTAGAGGTGAGTTTGGAACATCTAATTTTATTGTTTTCTTAAGTAGAAACATCTCATTTTAGGAATTCACAATATAAATTACACTTTGTCCCTTTAAAGTTTACCTATTTCTCACTTTGACTCTTTAAATTTGATTTTTCTC